TTCATTGGGAAGAAGAAATGAACATGTATACGGAAGACCGCCAGAGAGGGTGGAACAGGATGCTGGATAAAAAGAAAAAAAAGAGCAGGCTGTGTGCACAGCTGTAAAAAATGTAATTGGTCTGAATGCAGCAGTGAATTGTAACGCATGCGTTGCTACTCACTACTGCATAACACCCGTATTGCCTTATCGGCAGGGTAGGGTGTAAATAAAATAAAATAATGTTGGAAAGTGGAGGTCGGTATGTAGAGTTTTGTTAGTCATGTACCAACGTGCTTTTGTAATGAGTGGCAATAATTTAGATTGGAACGTTTGAAGTTTTCGTCGATGGGTCTTTTTTGCGATGCCGTGATGAGTACGTCCATATAGGCTTAAGTAAGTATGTATATGTATTCAGTTTCTGTTTTAGTTTTAGTTTTGATGCTATAGAAAAAAGAGAGTAAAGTAGTTTGAGTCATTTGTTAAGTGTCTTACGTTTTATTTTACGTGAGTCCAAGGGAAAGGTACCGTGTCCGTTTGAGGAATTTGAATGTTGTCAATATAAACTGGAGGGCAGGTGTTTTTTCGAAGGGCAAATTTTGTAATTTTGCAAATTTGTCATGGTTAAGTCGAACTTTCCATAGCGTGAGCCAATCTTGTAGTAATCTTAAATTCATAATAAAGTATTTATATTTATGAATCTATTTTTTTAACTCTGCTATTATTCTAAGGGGACTTTAGTCTCAGAATAAAATTATTTTTTATTTTCAGTTCATTTAATTTTCAGTAATTAACTATTTGGAAGTAAAATGATACTTTGTGTAACTTCGTGAGGAAAAATGATGATTTGCTTAATTGAGCATTGCGTCTCATCTATCCCCCCTCCACCAGGCTGTTGGAGGGAGGATAGATGTATAAAGATTTATAAAAATAGATAATCGATATATAAAAATCGATTTATAATAGATGTATAAAAAAAAGTAATCTCTACTTAAAGTCGTTATTACTTTTTTTCTTTGTTCGTAAAAGCTAAATACAAAATAGTCTATCCTTTAATCTTGTACTTGTCTGATATCAGACTTAACTGTACAGAAACTGGTCTGTGCATAAAAAGAAGGCCGATAAGGTGGAAATGCAGCTGTATATATATATATATATATATGAAAAACCCAGTTCTAATACATAGCTGTGAGACCTGGACATTAACCAGCACCATAGTAAAATTGTTGAAAGATTTGAGAGGAAAATCCTCTGCAGGATGACCGAAGCGATCTGGGATCATAGAATTACGGAATAGACTTAATCCGTGACAAATAATAATAATATTAATAATTATTTAACTTTTATTTTAATAAATGATTTTATTAAATATTCCAATTCGTGAATCATGTATTGTATTGACGATTCTCATAACTCAAAGGATAAAAGGAGAAAGCTATCCCTAGATAGCCAGGTCAAGTTATCTTTGATAACTTAGAAATATCTAGAATGTACCGACTGGACACAAGACCCTTTATGAAGAATCAGGGAACAATAACAGATTTTGGCAAAAGGTCTCTTTCTCGCAGACTTCATATCAGTTCTAAACGATCAGGATACCAATTCTTAATAGTTTATAACTTCTCTCCCACGCTTCCTAGACCTCCCTACTGATTCACCCCCCTACTGCTCTTGGGAATATTAACCCCATGCTCCTCAGAACAAATCACTCTTGCAGTTACATTCTTGAAGTCACACAGTTGTAGGAAACCTGGAGTGAACTCTTGTAGTCAACCCATATATTCATAGTATTATTCTGTACTTTAAGATGCCATTTGTAACAGACATTATGCAAAAAAGCATTACTTATAATTTTTTCACTGCCTCCGAATCGTTAACTGGCGCCCGAACAGGGAATGCAAGTTTCAAACTAGATTTTGATCAACTTCGCAGTTTGTACCATTGAAGATGCTTCTTTTTTTAAGATTTTATACCAAAACGTTCAAAGAAATTTCCTTATGGATGCCACTCGCTACTGGTGACTTTATCCTATTAGTAAGTGAGTTCTATATGTGTCTATTAATGATACATTTACCTTGCGTTAATAACAAAATAAATCCGAGTCACAGGAATAATGAGGTTTCAACATAGTAAAAAAAAAAAATACAATAAGAGGACAAGCATTGAAATCCAGGGAAGTATATCCAGCTAAAAATGAATGAAGCGAAAATGAGCGCTGTATCGAAAGACGGAACTAGTTCTGACAGTGACAAATTGCTTGCGACAGAGAGAAAAAAAAAGAAGCAAACTTTCGGAGGCAACTCGACGGTTCTTCCTTTTTGTATAACGCTTGATAAATGGTAAGGAATCAGGTCGGAAAATATATCTCTGTTAGCTTAACAACTGTACATCGCTCAATGATAACGCTCCCCATCCCGACCAATATCATTAATCGTAAGTCTAAGTAATCAAACATTTCGTTTTAAGGAGAGGAGAAGAACCCGAAATATAACAACTATACAAGTAAACTACCCGAAAATATGGTATGAAGGTGTCGAAAATATAATATTCTGTGATGTAATGTGCGTGGAAGTTTTTGCCTCATTCTGTGACCACAACTAAAAAAAATGACATATTCGCCCAAGAATAAAAGAAAAAAAGAACAATCAATATTATAGGATTACGTGGAAGAACAGGAAAATAATACTATATATAGAGTTTATAGAATTTTGATACCAAATAATACATGATTCGGTCGATGTCATTATTAATATGTAAGATGGCCAATAAATAAATAAATGACCAGTGGCGAATACGGAAAAATGAGGAGCTCTATGAGCTATATAAAAATAATAATATTGTAGTCACTGTCAAAAGGAGCCGGCTCAGATGGCTAGGCCATGTAGAGAGAATTGAAGAGAAGAGGTTGACTAGGAAACTTCTCCATAGCCGCCTAGGAGGACCCCGGCTGCGGTGGATCAAAGACGTGTAGAAGGACCTCAGCCGCATGAGTATCAGAAGATGGATAATAATATCTGCCGATATGGAAGCCTGGCGGAAACTTATTTCTGACGCCCATGTCCATTAAGGACTGTAGAGAAAATTAATAATAATAATAATAAGATTACAAAAGCTTTTTTTAATTGTTTCTCTTCAGAACTAAATCCACACTTGCCATTAAGTTGACAATAAGCAGATGAGCTGTATGTGAAATTGGAAATTCGCATGTTATAGTCATGAGGAAGAGGAGTACCCAGCAGCACCTCTTCCCGGTCTATGTTTTATTCCTTAGTTCAGGAAAGGAGATTTCTCATTGAGCTCTTTTTCAGACACCTCTCGAAGAGTATGTCTATCGTGGTCATGGGTGTAATGAGTACGTATGTGAAATTCTTCTTCTTCTTGTACGGCACTAAAACTCGTGGTGAGTCAGGGCCTCCTGCAGCATCGACCGCCAACGCATCCTCTGCCACTCCATTAGCCCTTCGCAGTCTTGGCCTGCCGAATCTTCTCTTGGAATATATCTTTTCTTCAAGTACTTTCTTCGGGATCTTATCATCTTTCATTCTAGCGACATGCCTGTATGTATGTATGTGATAGTCGATAGTTGCTTTTCGAAAGTCGATATTTATCTTTTGTTGTTTAAAAACCAAAGACCTGCTATTATTAGTATTAAAATTATAAATTTAAATTAATTTTTATTTTTGTAAGTGTGTCTTTTTTTCTGAACCGAAAATCTGTGAGGCGTATGACCATAAGGGTGTAAGTAGGTATTTGTATGTATTTATTTTTTGTCTAATAATATTTTCAGTCGTTTGTTTAAAGTATTCCGTTCCATGTTGACGTGTGGACTCAAAATTTTTACATTTATTTTAAAAATTTTAAATAATCAAGTGTTGTAAGTACAAAAATAAAAATAAGATATAATCAGATTTTTCTTTTCCCCTTTGAAATTTTTTTTGGGAGGGAAGGAGGTTTTAAAACATTTATTTATTTATTTGCACATGTCGAATTTATGTCTACAATCAACAAATAAGCTGGAAATACAAGAAATAATGACATGTCAGGCATTGGGAAGGATAGTATTCAGCTCTTCTCTAACTAGTTTTTGTTGTTGACAATTACTTAGGTTGAGGAAGAGGTCTCTCATCCAACGCCTTTTTAGTCTCCTCCTTTTGTTCTAAGGGATTTCAGCTGTGGCCATGTCTGATATTAATCTGTTGTTATGTCCGTTTAAATTTGTATAAAAGCGTTGATGAAGGATCGTTATATATTGGTCAGCTGTTGGAAGGTGGAGGTCAGTATGTAGTTTTCTTAATCACTTACAGGTGCTCCTGTCATGAGTCGCAATAATTTTGATTGGAAGGTTTGGAGTTTTTGTAGGTGGGTCTCTTTAACGATACCGAATATTTGTGATGAAAATGTCCATATATAGTAAGTATGTATATCTATTCTGTTTCTGTCTCAATTTCAGTTTTTAAGATTTATAAAAAAGAGAATAAAGTAATTTGAGTCGTTTTTTAATTACTTTACGTTTCATTTTTACATAAGTCCAAGATTAAGTACCGTGCCTGTTTGTTGTCAATATAAACTGGAAGGCAGATATTTTTAAGTCGAATTTTCCATAGTTTGAACCAATCTTGTAATTTAATCAAACGATATTGTAAAATTAGTGAAGCTTGCATATGGTCTTGATGTTTTGTGAGAATAGGTGTATCGTCTGCATAAGTAGCAGTTAATATATCATCGTTAACAGATGAATCGTAAGTGTATACTATGTAAAGTAGAGGATCTATTTATAAAATAAGGAAAACGCAGATTGAACTGCGATGAATCGTAGGTGATATAAATCCGTCAACTGTTATTAAATAGATAAACTGAAAATTGAATTCACCAATGATATCTCACTTATCTGAAGATATAAACTATAGTAAGAAGTGAATTATCAGTCATTGAAATATTGCGGAATTAACCCTTCGTTGAATATTTAGTCCAATGAACCAACAAAAGTATTTAATAATGTTGTTTGTCGGTATATTAGCTAGAAGTGACTGTGAAGTCATCAATATTGGTACAGACGTTGGTAGGACATTGGACCAACTCAACGAAGAAGTTCTGGCCACTGGAAAGACATGGATGGTACTAGAGCCGGGAATACTCAACGAAAATGTAAGCGTTTTGATTATGTATCAAACTTAATACAATTTTTAAACACGAATTAAATTGTATATCACATTTAATTTATGGAATTTGCATTTACTTTGTTTCTTAAACTGTTTAAGTTTTCAAAAACACTAATGAATGCTGGTCTACAGTTTTAGCAATACAAGTAATATTCCAAAGTATTTTAATTAGAACCCGCCTGATTTCGTCAGGCGAAATTACAATAGAAAGGTATGCCGGTAGGTGATATTACTCTTCTAAATATCTAAAGTTGCTTTATTATTCAAGATTTCGAATTAAATTTAATGGTTAATTGTTTTTTAAACTGTTAGTTAAGAATTAAAAATAAATTATGTAATATAAAAAAGTGAGGAATAAAGGAAAGCGGAAGGAAAGGGATGTAGCATTGATTAAAATGAGTGGGATAAAATTAAAAACCTTTAAAAAATATATCAACAGGTTGAAGAACCACCCAGCCTCGGTAATATAAAGTGGATACTCTAAATAATTGATTAAGTGTGAAAAAACTGACTGTTGAGCTTGATCTCGCCACAATCACCACCCTTCACAACCGTTGACCAAGAAACTGTATTTCCTTCCCACCTTTTTTAATCTTTACCGATTGGTCCAAATCGGATGAATCTACTGCTTATTCTTTGTTATGAGTTGAGAATAGGCCATACCAATCTAACCCATTGACATCCCATTAGCAAACAGCAACCACCAAAATTCAAGAAAATTATTTTTATATCTGAAATTTAACTAGTTCAGGACTTACATTGCTAATATCAAACATCATTAAAAGTGGCGAAGACGCAATAAAGTTACTATTTCTTTAATTTAAACAATTTGTTAAACAAAATGTAAAACTTGAAATTTGATTCTATTTCAGCTAAAATAAATCTAGAACGCCGCGATATAATCACCCCAATTATATTAACCGGATACAGTTCACGCAATTCTGCGTTGTGTAACCGCCAAAACTCTTCGGTTAACTCATCCTTCTTCGGTCCAAATATTCTACGCAATAATTTATTTCCAAAAACCTTAAAACGTTGCTCATTCATAATAATTATATATATATATATATATATATATATATATATATATAATAAATACATATGAAAATAAATATAGCTATATAATGTGTTCCAGATCTCTTATTCGCAAGGACTCCTTATAGGCTTGAATTCCATGGTAGGCACAGGTAATTGCCTTCTATCTACAAGTGCCAAAGTTGCCTCTTACGATCTACATATAGGCTTCAGTTTATTATCAGTCTTCTTATCCGAAGTCAATATCGGTGGAAGACACATGTCTGCCTACTTCAGGATAAGAGCAAACTCCTTCAATATTCGATTCAACATTTTCAAGGAAGGTGGATGCATCGTCAACCTTGAAAAGATGGAGATGATCGCAGCTGCTCTAGTTCAGAACGGATCGTCCCTGAAGGTGTTTGACGAGCTACAACTTGATGTATTCTTTCAAGAAGTAGTCATTCCAAAGATTAACGAAATCTTGAAAAGATATATACCTGCCGTAGAGAAAAAATTACAAAATAACTGCGAGGCTTTGAGGAGATTCGATAAAAATATCGATTTATCCCAATTCTAAAATTAAAGTTTTGAGTCTCTGGAATAGCAGAACTTTACTAAGGAACTTATAAGTAAAGGCGTTTAAATGAGAGATACTAAGTTTTCTGTAAATGATGGTTTTAGCTAAACAGATATTAGCAATTCCAATTTCAACAATTTTTGTACGATGTCAAGCTTCCATTTCGGTTTAAAATAAATGTTTATCATATTTATTTATAAAAATGTTTTGAAACCTTTTCAGACTTATAAATTGTACCTAAACCCCTTTGCTTTGATCAAAAGGAACGGTATAAATATTATAAAGGATTTATCTTAATTTCTTCATTATGAGATTCATTATAATAATAATAATAATACTTTATTTATTCTGAGACTCGTCCCTTTAGAATAATACAGAAAGACAGAGATAAATACAGGCTCTAAGGAGCCTTAGAGATACATAAATAAATACAGAGTAATTAAACAGTCATAGAAAAATAATTATAAGTTACTTTCTAATTTTAATCAGTAAATAATAGAAAATAAAAAATTGAAAAAAAAAAAAGGATGTAGTAAAAATAGTGAAGAACGAACTTATAATTTATATACGTATTTACATGATTATCTATTTACAATTTCATGGGATCTGGATGGATAAGAAATAATTGAACAGGCGGGATTTAAAGGTAGAAAGTGTCCTAGATTAACGAATGTGGGAAGGAATAGTATAAATTATGTATAAATCAGAAGACCGGGAACGAATATTGCCGTAACGAACAGAAGATTTGAATTAAAGGAGCTCGGAGATGTATGAAGGGCGGTGGGATTGGATGACTTGTAAGAGGAAGGATGCCAGGAAATACGACGGTAGGAAGGATAAAACCACTCAGCATAAAAATGGGAAACACATTAAAGGGTAATTGGAGGTTCTTTTTATAAACAAATTAACGCTTTTAAGATTACACATTGATGCACGATCTTTATGTTGGTGGTATTTCCAAAACCTACAACCCAATAACGAAACTAAACATCGAAGAAATCCGATATGATAAAATAAAATAATTTGTGAAGGCGCAATCTTATAATTTGTTTTTTTATATAATCTTCATTAACATTGAAGAAGCTGATTAATATGGTACCCCAGACTAATATTGAAGAAATGTAAATAATTAGTCATAATTGTGAGAAAAAATATTTATCCTAAACATTCATAATGTCTAATAATTATTTTAAACAACTAATGAATATAGATTCTGCAGGGCTCCATGACCAATCTATTGGTCTATCTCTGTGGCGCTACACCCCAGAACGGGACTTGATCTGCTAAATAAGCCTCTGCCATTCGAATCTGTTTCGTTCTGCTTTTTTTCAGTTGATGATTCCCAGGAGGTTTCTTGCATCCGCTGCAACTAAGTCAGCTCTCCTTAACCTTGGTCTTCCACCTCTCAGGACCCTTTGAAGAACCCATTCAGATATCTTGCTTGGGATTTCTTCTTCACTTATCCAAGCCATGTGACCAGTCACCCAAGCTTAATGAATCTGAACACGTCAATCTGCTTGTAGATTTGGCACATCTTTCGTTTCCGTCTAATCCTCCATTCCTCAGAAATCCTCAAAGGACCAATAACACCCACAAGATTTTTCGTTTTTCATCACTTTTAAAAATGGTTCATGTCTGTTAGACATAGAAGAGAACTAGTCAGATTAAATTCTTATAAAGAGTAAGCTTGGTTTGCCTTCTCAAGAATATTCTTAGCAAGGTCCTCAAAGTAGCACGGATTCGCAGTGGTTAATCTTTTCTTTAATTCCGCTGATATATCATTCAAGCTGTGGAAATTTTACCCCTAATGAAGACAGAAGAAGTTCTATCACAAACTAATAGGCTGAGAAAAAATGAATTGATCACATATTACTTTAATTTATTTTCTACAACAGCATTTCAGCCTCTCAGGTCGTATTCAAGAGGAAAAAACCTTTAACAAATGAAATAATCATCACAGCCTAATTAAATTTGCTCAATTATTATTTTCATTTTATACTTTATAGGTACTAAATTTTCATTTTAAAAGAACTAAGTGAAATATTTGTACCGATTTTATCAATCCAAACCAATTCGGAAAACCAAATGCTCAAACAAAAATTACAAATTACAATTTAAGTTATTTCGGCATTTTAATTTTTTTTTTATCATTATATAATTTCTGTCATTTTTTTTGTACCATGTTTTATTTCCAATTCCTCTAAAATGGACATCTAAAGTGTCCATTATTGAGAAGTGTTACTGTATATAACCATCGTATTTCTTAAGCCTTCAACCTTCTCAAATTCAAGTCTTCAGTCCATTCCCTTTCAACAAGATCTCGACCTTCTGACCTCTACATCCCTTCTCACAAATCTGCCTCATTTCAAAACTCCTTTATAGCTCGCGCTGTCAATTTCTGGAATTCTCTACCTATCAAAATTCGGCGTTCCCCCTCCATATCCACATTCAAAACCCTCCTATTCCAATTCCTATCCCCAAAACAGTCAGATACTTGCTAAACTTTTGATATTATACATTTCTATTATATCATTCATCATCAAACGATAGTACTATTCTATACTGTAATACACGGTGGGCCAGACCCCCTTACCGTGCACCCCCCCCCCACATCCCTATAAATTGCATATCGTTGTGTTCCTTGTAACTATTTATTAAAAAAAAGCCAATGTTCCCACAAAAAAAAGTGAACGCACTGCCCCAAAATGGCGTCCAAAGATGGCGGATTGACGACTTTGACTTTAGTTAGTTTTTTGGTCACTGAGAATCAGCATTTGGCTTAATTTCCTCATAGTTGGTCTTTTATTAAAGCTGAATAGTTATAGGATAATAAAACATGAAGAAATATTAAAAAATAATTGGCTTAGGCTATGAAAAACACCAGTAAAGTCAATTTTTTTAATAAAAAAATTTTCAAGTTACAAATCAAGCGTCGTTTGTAATTAAACGGCCTACAATAACGCAAAACGTGCTGAAATAAACCATCTGGAGAATATATTTCTCTTTCTAAAACGCTGATTATTTTTTACAAATGTTTAAGCAGTTCCGTAGAAAATGCACTTATGCGGCAGAAAAGCGGTACTGGCGTGGGTGCCTACAGGCCTCTACCACACCATTCAGTGCCCATAAATGGCTTAGTTATAGTGATATAATAACATTTTTGGCACATTATATTGGTTTAATTAACGAACAAATATTAATGCAATAATTTAAATGTAAAAAAAAAAATTAAAATTTAAAAAAAAATTATTATTATTTTTTTTTAATTTAACCTCCTTTATTCTGTACGTTGGTCGTTTAAGAAGACCTCAATTGTAAAAATGATATAATTATAATAATAAAAGTTAATTAAAAAATACTTTGCTAAATATCTTGATTTTTTTTTTATTTAACGTTTGCAATTGAACACTGTGTTTTGTATATTTACTGATTCTTAGAAGTAATTAAAATGTTTATATACTTCCCAGGAAATGAGTCATATTAATACCTTTTTTATAAACTAAAATAATATATACCTAATCTGAACTATATATAATGAATAGCTACCGGGTTGTTTAGTAAAACTCATATATCACTAATTAAAAAATTAATTTTTATTTCCTTTATTTTGTGCAGAAGTTGGGCTATATCATAAATAAATAGGAAATTTTAATATTGAATGAATTATTCTCTATGCACAAAGAAAGATAGAAGGGGTGATGCTATAAGTTCTTCTATAAACCAAAACTGATTGTTTGGATTTGATCTCAAAATGAGGAAAAACGCGTATAATACATTAAGCGAAAGAGAAAGGAAGTACTAAAACCTCGGAATAGATAAAAAGGACCAGTATCCATTATATAGCTAAATGAATGTATAGTAGAGAGATGAACAGAATATTTCAAGATGCTGCTAAAACGGGATCAATTGCAGTTTGGATGATATTAAGTGGACGATGTAGGTTTATTATGGTGAAAACCACTTTATTTTCGATTGCTGAAGGTGCACATCGGGACTATATTTACTTTGAAGCAGGATATAGAGAGGTATATCGAGAAAGTTATAGCTCATAGCTTTCCTTCTGATTTTTTAAGGAATCTTATATTAGTTATAGCTCGTTATTGTTCAGAAATTGCGGAATAAATTGTTCGGAATTTGTACCATATCATAAAAAAATAGGAAATTTTAATATTGAATGTATTATTCTCTCTGCACAAAGAAAGATGGAAAGGGCGAAACCGAACTGCTTTGATAGTTTTGCGCGTACATAGGCAACAAGCATATTAGAAAATAACATAAAAGGACTGTGGTTTTTACCTTTACAAGAAAGGAGGTACTAGGAAATGTAATACCCATCAAGATCCATTCCTGTTTAGTGTACCAAACAAATTATACTCAAGAATCGTAGAAGCTGGAATAAGAAATATTGTCGATTGCCAGAGTGATATGGATTGAGAAACTTAAGTTGCACATTGGAAGAGAAGTTGAAAATTGGGACTGTCTTCACTTTAAGGCAGGTTATAGAGAAGTCCACATAAAAAGAAAAATAGCTCTCTATCTGCTTAGTGCCTCACACTTTGGATTATGCTAATATCTAACTGTCATTAAGAAAAGCTCGTTTTTCTTTTAGATTCCTTAAAAAATCTTTTGCAAATAATAAATTAGGAAAGCTATGAGCTATAACTTTCTCGATATCTTGAAATATTCTGTTCATCTCTTTACTATACATTCATTTAGCTATATAATGGATACTGGTCCTTTTTATCTATTCCGAGGTTTTGGTACTTCCTTTCTCGTTCCCTTAATGTATTATTCGCGTTTTTCCTCATTTTGAGATCAAATCCAAACAATCAGTTTTAGTTTATAGAAGAACTTATAGCATCACCCCTTCTATCTTTCTTTGTGCATAGAGAATAATTCATTCAATATTAAAATTTCCTATTTATTTATGATATAGCCCAACTTCTGCACAAAATAAAGGAAATAAAAATTAATTTTTTAATTAGTGATATATGAGTTTT